ACAGACACAGGCAGACACACACATACACAGAAATTATAATTCAAACAAAACGACCCACTACATACCTTCATGCACAGAACATATGAAACTTTTTGATGATAGAACTGCACAAATTGTGTTTTCACATCATTGTTTTTTCTTTATCTTCAGTTGTTATAGTTGTCTTTATTATATTAAAGTGCTGCATTTCTCTTTCTTAGGCCCGGCGCCCACTAATGGCATCGGCAATCGGCATGTCTCAGGATTTTAGGTGGCATATAGCAATATACATTAACATAATGGCAATAAAGTAGAAATTGCCGTGCAGATGGTCGTAATTACAAAAATACCGCTTCGGTGCTTCGGCATCCTCGATCCCAGTCCACCATATTAAAGACAACTTAGACAACTAGCTTGAAACAACTCTGAGACTGTTATGACGAGAAATATGATATTGAGACGCTTCGACATGCTTCAGAACGGTGCAACATGCTACAGGACGCCTCATCATCCCTAAGAACGTTCCAGCATGCTAAAGCATAGTATCTGACAGTGTGCGCTTGCATGTTAGATGCCGAAGGATCCTTTTCCTTGCCGATGCCGACAGTGGGCGCCGAGCCTTTGGGTCGATTTTTCTCGATTCCCGGGTCTGGCAAAGTTTACTGGATTTTTATAGAAATTGTCAGTAGTAGCACGGAGTCTGGAATCGTGCCCGGTATATGGCAATAGGCTCACCCCCTGTTACCTGGGACTCATGACATAAATAGTAAAAAGTGGGTGTTACATTGACAGTGGCATAATGTGCACCTCTGCCTACCCCTTAAGGGATCAAAGGTTTGATGTTCAAAAAGAGAGTAGTTTATAAAATAATATTTTTTAAGTAAAATTGCGGGTTACTCACGTGAATATACTGAGAAAAGCTCGAAGAAGAAGGAAGAGGGAAGAACACACAGAGGTGTGGTTCAAAACTACTAGTTCCTTCCTTATGAGCAGCGAGCCAGACGCGGCGACGTCGCACAGTGCGTAACCCGCGATTTTATTTAGTTTAGTATGTCTCACGATAGTTATTATAAAAACATAATAATTTTTCTTTCTTACAATGAAGTAATTACACCAATAATTATTTTATAAACCAAGTTTAAGAAAACCGACTTCAAACCACTCTTTATTTGAAGTCGGATAATTACAATCGTAAAACCTTCTTCTAAGTATAACAAACACTTTTCTGAAAACCGCATCAAAATCTGTTCAGCTAATCACGAGATTATCGCGCACAAATATACCTACATACGAAGTCGGTTAGTAAAATTGTTCATGATCTTCTTTTTTTTCTTTTTATAACCCAATCACGATTGTTGTGTACGGTGTACCTTATTACCAACTGACTGGGTATAATTTGGTTTGTACGTAGATATGCACATGCACGGTTTTTTATACAAATAAGGATATACCGTCAAAGTTAGCGAGTTAAAAAGTAATATACTAACTTGAAGTAGGTATTTCTAGCTCATGCAGCGCCAAGTCAATAATAGCTTGGCTCCATCTGTATCTTACAAAAATAATAACAATAAAGAAATATATTTATTGCATATGATCCGACCCGTTAACACTTAATATTGAGGAAGCCGCATTTTACTAAATCCATAACGAATATTAATACATACGATGCATCTTCCAAATGAACATAAATACCCCCAATTATATAATAATACCTATATAAGATAAAATGATAAATATATTTCATTCATTCATTCTATTAAAAATACAATTAAATTATTACTTTATTTTATAAATGTTTAATTAAATGAAACTCAAAATTTTATTTTAAATGATAAATGATTTCAATTTCGCAAATGGATTATGAACTAGATGATGTAGACCACTTCAATTTAGTTAAACACCTAGATAAATGGGCACTTATGCACTGACATTATAGTCCATCTCTATCCATAGCTGAATAGGAACTGATCGTGGAAAACATACATTACAGGTTCATTAACAATACAATATTACTAAAATTACACAATATTTAAGTATCATTTCAGAATCATAGTTATCGCTACAGACACCGAATCTGTAACTAGATAGACACACTTTTTTCATTTTGGATTTAAAAAGTGCTAGTCATGATGACATTTATTATGACTTAAATTATGTATGTACCTACGATAAGGGAATAAAAAAACCAAGAGAATTTCAACCAATTTCATCAGCCAGTTAAAATTAAAATGTAGTTCTTACCTAGACTGAAAAAGCTCAGATAACTTAACTGATAATGTTGAATGCGATTCTGACTATTTGAACCTTTCAACGAGCTTGTAACTTCTCTGGTCTGATGGAAATTCATTGGCAGAACTGATCACTTACTATTAAGCAAATGGATTTAATGGGAATCACCATATGATTGGTGATCCAATTGCTTGTTTGATTCCCATCGCATATAATCCTGTTACCGTAACTTTTACATGAGTAACTAAAGATTGAAATAGACCTTAGATACAGATACCTACAATGCATAAAATTATCAAATCAAAATACTATCTTAAGTTTTGTAAACATCAAAGTACTATAGAGATATGAATGGCTACAAAAATATAATTGTAATGATGACGGTGCATATTTTGTGTTTTCGATATAATAATATAAGAGACCATATCATATACTAGTTCGTATTTCAAACTGACGAGTTCACCGTTGTTGAGAATCGTGATTTTGTTTCTATCAAAAATAATAAAAAAAAATATTAAAAATGGCACCAGAAATTAAATACACAAAGGTTTGTGTTTTTTCTCTTTTCTTAGGTAGAACAACTATTTCATTTAAATCTAATTATACAAGTATACATTTGAGAAAATAATATTAAATATTAAAATAATTTAAATTAGAAAAAATATTAAAATAATTTTAATTATGTTGCATGCAAAATATATTATAATAATATCAAATTAATGTTACCGTACAGACGCACATAAAAAATATGCGTAATGTTTGTAATAAAAAAAAAAATCTTATATTTTTCAAACTTCTAAAATAAGAAAGGTCTTTTTTTTTGAGGGGGGAATATCATCCAATGACTCCTCCCGCCCGGGTGACGCGGGAGGGAGTCAGACTCTTACTGACTAAAAACCACCCCGTTCCTACGAAAGGTCTGGGAATAAATGATTCTATAGGCTTTAAAGCAAAAAAAATATATAAGGAAAAAAAAAATTGTGTATGTTCTATTTTTAATACTGACTCTACCTTCAGAGAATAACCGGAGTAATTGTAGTTTATCAGTACTATCCACTGATTACGATACAATTAGCCATGCCATTCTTTTCAAGTTTCATATTTTATTAAGTTTATATTTATTTCTAGTTGTTCATTGACAACGAATGGATGGACGCTAAAAGTGGCAAAACCTTCGAGACATACAACCCTCATGATGGATCCGTCATCGCCAGAGTCGCTGAGGGGGATAAGGTACTTGTCTTTAATTACTTTTTCACATTGTTCCGTATTGGTGTGGCCATGAGTAAAATGGAGTCCTCTTTAGATTTGTTTATTTTGTATGAGCAGTATTGACATTATGAAGCAGGTCCTGTTTACTGCTGGACACAGACTTCTCTAATAACTTCAGCTTCATACTAATAGAGAGACTCCAAATTCATCGAACACCTGCATTTTGCTACTGCACAGTCGGTGCGGTAGTTGGGCGAATGCACATTATATGTTCTGTGGGCGAATGGCTGCCGCGCAACGTGTCGCGGATTCGATTCCCACATGGAACAACTCTTTGTTTAATCCACAGATTGTTGTTCCAGGTCTGGGTGTCATGTACGTGTATGTAAGTTCACATACACGTACATGACATGTATGTTTGTAAACGCACCCACGACACAGGAGAAAATCCTAGTGTGAGGCAAGGTTTTAGAAAAAAACATTAATGAATTATTAATGAATTGTCATAATTTCTTCTAATGTTTTCAGGAAGACATTGACTTAGCAGTAGCGGCAGCGAAACGAGCATTCCATCGCAATTCAGAATGGCGTCAAATGGATGCCTCTAAGCGTGGAGAAATACTTCGTAAATTTTCTGATCTCGTAGAGAGAGATCAGACGTACCTCGCTGAACTTGAATCCTACAACAATGGCATGGTACTTAATAACGCCCAGGCGTTTATGAATTCAGCTAAGGGTACTATCAGGTACTTCGCAGCCTGTGCTGATAAAGTGACAGGAGAGACCATACCTGCAGGTAATACTTTAAGGCACAACATTTACTACGCACTGTATCCACGTCGAGCTTCATTCCCTACAAGTTTCCTTAATTGTCAACAGATGGCGAAGTCTTCTCTTACACTCTGAGACAACCCGTGGGCGTGTGCGCATTAATTCTGCCATGGAATGGCCCAGTTTTCGTCTTCCTTAACAAAGTCTGCACAGCTCTTGCTGCAGGTAAATCTCAATTAGTCTAATATTACTATTGAACATCGAGAGCTAGACGTGAAATGATAAAACATTATTTTACTTCATTACATTACCTTACTATTTTTCATCAGGTTGTACTGTAGTGGTAAAACCAGCAGAACAGACTCCACTTACTGCACTCGTGCTAGCAGCACTTCTAGCCGAAGCTGGTCTACCTAAGGGAGTGGTGAACGTTGTCAATGGTTTCGGACCTGGTGCTGGTACCAGTCTCACTCACCATAAAGACGTCGCTAAGGTGTCCTTCACTGGCTCAGTTGAGGTAAGTTTCTCTAAAAGTTAAGTTCTGTGTAACTGTTCTTTGTCAAATACAGCGATAACATTGATTAACATTTCACCAATAGGTCGGAAAACTGATCCAGCAGGCGTCAGGAGCTAGTAACTTGAAGAGGGTAACTCTAGAACTCGGTGGAAAGAGCCCTCTCATCATTATGGACGACGCTGATTGTGAGTTTTTCAAATATTTTTAAATTAGGTACTTACAATAAAACATGAAACATTTACATTTACAATTACAATTTACAAAAACTTACATTGAAACTAACGACATGAATTCATTTAAAAATGAAATTTATTTTCAGTGAATGTTGCGGTGCCTTATGCCGCTCATGCAGTATTCTCCCATCAAGGACAAATGTGCATAGCTGCATCCCGTTTATTCGTGCAATCTAGTATCTACGACAAGTTTGTAGAAGCAGCTGTGAAGTACGCAAAAACCATCAAAGTTGGAAACCCAACAGATCCCACCACACAGAACGGCCCTCAGGTAAATAAGGAGTTATGAGTATGATTACTTCTTCAGAAGCGCTAATGTTATGTAATGTCTAAAGAAAACTATTTACTTATGTATCTGATAATATCAAACATTCAAACTGTTAGATCATGATACCTACTTACCACTCGTACGAATTCTAATGTAATTGATTCTAACTGTAGCTACTTTTTATCTCACAGATTGATGAGACCATGATGAAAAAAGTTTTGGGATACATCGAGAAGGGAAAACAAGAAGGCGCGAAGTTGCTATGTGGCGGCCACAGAATCGGTACTTCTGGTTACTATATCCAGCCCGCCGTCTTCGCTGACGTCACTGATAACATGACCATTGCAAAAGAGGAGGTAATTTTATATTGCAAATGTTAATTTTTATTTGTGATTTTGCTATTTGGCCCTACAGTCATTAAACCTATGTTTAATTTCAGATCTTTGGCCCAGTACAAAGTATTCTAAAGTTTGACACTATAGACGAAGCTATTGACCGGGCTAACGCTACAAACTTCGGTCTAGCTGCTGGTATCTTCACATCCAATCTTAACAATGCTCTGCAGTTCTCCAAACACGTTGAGGCCGGAATAGTTTGGTAAGACGATATACTCACTAATTTGTAACTTGATACACTATAAACATTTAAAACTTGTTTTAAACTCTGCCTAATTCTACAGGATTAACTTATGTTCTAATATTTTTTTTATTCTTATTGTCTACAGGGTTAACACATATCTCCATTTCACACCACAACAGCCGTTCGGAGGATTCAAAGAGTCTGGTATCGGTCGTGAAAAGTAAGTATTTAGGTCGTGGCACTAAATTATGCGTTATAATTATTATACTGTACATATATTTCATATTAGTGACTCCAGTGCGGTTTCACCCGCTCAGCTACACTGCTTTTGATCGTAGCGTGACGTTATATAACCTTCCTCAATAAATGGGCTATACAACACAAAAATAATTATTCAATTCTGACCAATAGGTCCGAAGATTAGCGCGTACAAACAAACAAACTCTTCAGCTTTATACATTCAATAAGTAATAACTAGTATTTTATATTTTGATATTAATTGTGAATTCTTTTTCTTCCAGTGGATTGGACTCAGTACTAGCTTACACGGAGGTGAAGACTGTTGCCGTATCTTTACCTAAGAAAGTTTGAAACTATGCTCTGTAATTTTATATTATAATGTTCCTTAAATAAGAGTTATTTATAGTAACCAAGTTTGTATAAGTATTCTAGAATAAAATGAATATATTTTTATTTTACTATAACTTTGTTTTAACGAATTTTCAATAAATTTTGAATTATGAAATGTTTTTATACTTACTCCTATTCGTAGCAACAATATTTACGACTCGCCTGATGGTAAGGACAAATCTGCCTTAACCATTTAAAACCATTACAAATCGTAAACCATTTCCGAATACAACAAACGAATGTACGGTAGACATAACCATGAAAACACCAATAATAAGTACGATGCGTGCGACCCATAGACATGAGCAACTATGTTTGAACGTAATGATACAAACTAAAAGATACTATAGGAGAGTAAAAACGCGTTTACATGTCAGACTCTTACGGCCTAAAAACCATACTGTTCCTATTCCTGCTCTTCGACCCAGAGTCCCAGCAACCCGTTAAGATTTCCAGGGCTACATATCGAGCATCAGCCATACTCGGCCCCATCTGTGGTGGTCTGATGGCTCGAAGCATGAGCCTCAAAGGCTCACGCGGAACAGATCCGTGTGTGTCCGTCCGCAGTTGACAGTTTTTACAGTGACAATATACTTGAGTAAACACACCCTGTAACTATCAAACAATACCTAGTCAAAAGCTGTGAAGTTATTTCCTTCAGGTAGAAGTGCGAGGGCACTACGACGTTATGTATTCCCTGGCCTATGGCCAATAAAGTACTTAGTTATAGCATAGCATTTTAAGTGTGGGAGAGCCCTGATTCGGCACGAATGGACCGGCTCGACCGGAGTCATACCACGGCCTCACAGAAAACCGACGTGAAGCAACGCTTGCGTTGTGTTTCGCCGTGTGAGTGAGGTTACCGGAGGCCCAAGTCTCCCGAATATCCGAATCCTCCACAATTCTCAAATTCCCAATTCCCAAAAGGCCGGTAACGTAAGTGCGTTACACGTGTCCATGAGCGGCGCAGATTGCTTACCATCAAGTGATCCGTCTGCTCGTTTACCGGCTTATGCCATAAAAAAAAATAGTTCGCGTAAAGATTTTTTCAAACATTTAAGTCCTGCCTAACCGTTTACGGCGTAAAGACATAGTATAGACTACTTAATTTATGTTACGTTTACGCCCGAATATTGAAATCCTATTTTCTGTCACTACAAATTCTTTGCAGAAGAACAGATACGGCACGATATTTAAATACAGCTTAAAATTGAGTAACCTTTCAGTATCCGGGCGCTAATCTGTTAAAATTGGGTTTAAAAATCTTTTATTACAAAATTCAGTGGTGTAAAGTGTCAACCTCAATATGGACCTAAAGCTTAATAGGTACTGATATGACCATAGTCCAATCAACAAGCCTTGGTAGCTGTGTTGGTATCTACGTGACTGATTTTTTGACACAGATTAGCTGCGGAGTGGTCTGTTATATTAACAATGCGATCTTCGCAAAATTGCACAATATTATGACACAGTATCACAACCTACCTAGTTATCTCAACATGGACACCGACTCTCTAGATAATAATGTAAATTAATCACATTTAAAATTCAATACTAGTTATGATAACATAGACAAAGCCTTGTAAATTACGTATGTAATTTCGAAAAATTTCACCAGTTAACTAAAACAAAACAAAACTTTAAATGCAAGATAATACCTAGGATGAAAATGCTTACACATACCTAAAGGTACAGAAATTATAAAACACTTAGATTATTTGACCCTTTCAAGACTAATCACACATTAGCAACCTATTTTCCTTAGTATAATGTTAAGTACCATAACTTTTATGTAAGTACCAAAAATTATAAATGGACCTTATGTTTTTTACTGCTGTTTTTTGTATGTTATTATTGTTTTGTTCTTATTGTTTTTTATTTTATTTTATTATTTTTTTTTTGTTTTTCAATGTTATTCTGTTATTATTTTGTGTGTTATTCGGTGGTCCATGTCGGTGGCGAATAAATTATTTTTCTTTCTTTCTTTCTTTCTTTCTTTCTTTATGTAATAAATAGATATCATCTGTAATAATTATTATCAAATCAAACTAATCTTAAATTTGTAAACATACGACTTTTATCGTGATATGGATGAATACAAAAATATATTCGTAACGTTGATAGTGCCAATTTTTATCTTTGTTTCCAACATAGCATATAAGAGACCAATTGTGTGGTATTCCGAAGCATTAAGTTCATCGTGATCGTGGCGTCTCTTGTGTTTTATAGTGATATTTGATTAAATTGAAAATGGCACCTGAAATTAAATACACAAAGGTTTGTTCTTTTTGTATTATCCAGTTTGTGATTTATTATTAAATATTTTCCGGTTCTCATAAAGCACGAAGTAGGGTACGAAAATATACGTATGTATGAGTAAATAGAATTTTTGAACTTATTCAAATCAATTTCACATCAGTCGCTCGCTAATCAAATTCATAGGATCTTCTATGTAACGAAGTAATAATTAATAGTTATAACAATAAAATATTTAAGTGTGGGAGAGCCATGCTTCGGCACGACTGAGCCGGCTCGACCGGAGTGATACCACGGCCTCACAGAAAACCGACGTGAACCAACGATTGCGTTGTGTTTAGTCGTGTGAGTGAGGTTTCCGGAGGCCCAATCCCCCTCCCCTTTTCCAATTTCCCCAATCCCTGAATCCCCAACGATCCTCAAACTCCTATTCCCCAAAATGCCGGTAACGCACTTGTAACGCCTCTGGTGTTCCAGGTTTCCATGGACGACGCGCATTGCTTATCATCAGGTGATACGTCTGCTCGTTTACCGGTTTATGCCATAAAAAAAAATATTTTAAATATATATACAGGGTGTCCCTGAAATCGACGATCAAATGGCACCACGTGATCGACAAGTTTCCAACAGTTATCAGAAAAATGTAGACAAAAATCCAAGTCATATAGTTTTTAAATTACAATAAGTCATGGGTCATCCACGAAAAAGTACACCCTGTGTTTTGACTCTTGTTGCTACAATTCTTTATTTTTTCATCTGTATTTTTGCTTACGTGATCCTGAATCAGTTATTCATATCAGTCCTTCAGTGTTATGGAATCATAAATTGTGGGCCAACTGCTTTAGTTTGTACAACAATATCATTTTTTGATGCACGAAGTATTCACAATAAACTTTTCACCTTACTACACGTTACTGTACTGAAAAATAAATGTACTGTACTAGTAGTGGAAAATTCATCAAAGTTGGCGCTTTTAATAAGGATTTTAAAATCGTATACCACTCTTTACGATATTTCATAACTTGACACAAAAAAATGTTTTTCAACGAAACTCCGTTTCGAACAATTCATTTGAACTTACTACAATTTATTTTGGTGTACCCAAAGCGCACCTAAAAACCTAGTATCCATTAGGTAACACTTTGCACGCGAAATAAGTGAGATGTGATCCACAACACACTATATTATGACTTGGAATTTTTCTATATTTTTTTGATAACTGTTGGAGCCTTACCAATCACCAGGTGCCATTTGATAGTCGAATTCAAGGACACACTGTATATTATATTAAAACAACTGATATTTAAGATAAAAAAATTAAAGATAAATTTTATATTGTAAATGAGAATTATAATCGAAGGTGCTAAAGATAAAGTAGATAAAGAGATAAACAATATATTATCATCCTAAGTATATTTTTAATTTAAATCAGAAAAATATACAGTTTGAGATTTTTGGGATTATTGAAAAAAAATACGAATTATCCAGAAAAAAATATACAGATTTTTTTCCGACGTCGCTTAAAGATGCTTACTTACATATTAATATTTAATTCAAATAATATAAAAGTTAAGAGAGAAACATAGGTAGATATTGTATTTATAATGTAAAGTTGTATGAAATTTTTTTTTTCTAGTTGTTCATTGACAACGAGTGGGTGGATGCTAAGAGTGGCAAAACCTTCGAGACATACAACCCTCATGATGGATCCGTCATCGCCAGAGTCGCTGAGGGGGATAAGGTACTGCTAATTTATTACTTATTCACATAATATTAAGACACATTTGAGTATTAGTTTTTACTACTTCTGGATATAGGTTTCTCAAATAGCTTTGCAGCATGCCACTAAGCCCGATCTTCGGATCTTCGTATGCAAACACTGCTACCCTTGTCGTCCTTCACCTAGGTGAAAAGCCCCTACATTATGTTTGTGTAACTGTGGTCTTTAATACTTTTTAATGATAGTCGATTGGACATATGAGACTAGACTCAAAGCCATGTCGACAATTTTGGATTTCTACTTGATCAACTCATTTCGAAATAGATCGTTTATCAAACATCTACGTGATAAAAAAGAATTTATTCAAATAGTAAAATTAAAACAAACTATTACTAAATTAATAATAAAATATATAAGTTGATGGTCCAGTGACAGGCCATGCCAATATCCAGTTAGTATTAATTTTAATAACATCTAGAGGAGACTCATTGACGACAATAGGCTCATTGCTCTCCTCAGTCTCCTATATAATCTGATTCGCCATGATAGTATTTTTTCTTGATTCCAGTTCGAATTAAGTCTTCGTGTGATGTGTAAATAATACTCTTCCTATAGTCTTTCAATAGTTGAAAGTGCATATTTTCATATATTTATAAATTATCATAATGCTCTCTTCTGACGTTTCCAGGAAGACGTAGACTTGGCAGTAGCTGCAGCAAAGCGTGCATTCCATCGCAACTCAGAATGGCGTCAGATGGATGCCTCCAAACGTGGGGAAATACTTTACAAATTTTCTCAGCTCGTAGAGAGAGACCAAAAGTACCTCGCTGAACTTGAATCCTACAATAATGGCACGGTACTTAATATCGCCTACGGAATTGTTAGCGGAGCTGTGAACTCCATCAGGTACTTCGCAGCCTGTGCTGATAAAATAACAGGAGAGACTATACCCGCAGGTACTATAATAACACATATTTACTTATAAACAATGTTTTAATATCATGTAATATTCTATACAAGTTTCCTCGTTCGTCTACAGATGGTGAAGTTTTCTCGTACACCCTGAGACAACCCGTGGGCGTGTGCGCATTAATTCTGCCATGGAATGTCCCAATTTCTAT